GAGTTTGCCCAGCAGTTTCTTGTTTAACCATGCTGGTCTCCTGGCTCCCCTACTTGACTTCCTACTCATTGGGACACTCTGATCCTGAGCTTTGAAGAAGCTTGAATGCTGACCAACTATCTTGAGCCCCTTTACCACCTAGTACCCTTTCCCATGATACTTCCCTTAGCAATTGATTGAAGAGGCCAAAGTTTGCCCTTCGGAAATCCAGAAATGTGGCCTTGCTAGGTATTCTATTCCTCCCACACAAGATCCTAAGCTCCACCATCTCATGGTCACTGCAGCCCAGGCTGCCATTGACCGTCACTACTTCAACCAGACCCTCCTTGTTGGCGAGTACCAGATGCAGCAGCGCTTCTCTCCTAGTTGGTTCGTCCACCATTTGCATTAAGAAGTTATCATCAATGCACTGGAGGAACCTCCTAGACTGTGAATGACTGGCTGTGTAAGTCTTCCAGCAAATGTCAGGGTAGTTAAAATCCCCCATAAGGACCAAGGCATGTAGTCGTGAGGCTGCTTTCAGTTGCCTGTAGAAAGCCTCGTCAACTCCTTCATCCTGATCAGGAGGTCTATAATAGACCCCCACAGCTGTGCCACCCATATCAGCCTGTCCCTTAATTCGCACCCACAGACTTTCCACTTGCTCCCCATCTGCCCCTGGACAGAACTCAATACATTCTAGTCACTCTTTCACATAAAGAGCGACTCCACCACCCCGCTTTGCTGACCTATCTTTCCTAAAAAGGACATAGTTATCCATGACCACATTCCAGTCATGTGAGCTGTCCCACCATGTCTCTGTAATTGCCACCAGGTCATAACCTTTAGACCGCACACAGACTTCTAACTCCTCCTGTTTATTCCCCATACTGCGTGCATTGGTGTACAGGCATTTCAGGGAGCGAGCAGAGCACGCTAGTGGCACCCTTGGAAGGCGGGAGGCCTTCTGGTCTTCGTTCATACTAGAACATTGCCCCACTAGTTCAAACCCAGCTACAACCCCCTCGCACTTTGAATACAGCCTAGAGCTCTGTGAGTGAGCTCTATAACTCTTGCCCAGGTACCCTTTTTCCCCTGCAGGACAGGGTTTAAACAGCTACCCTTTCCCTCAAATGAAACAATAGATTGAGAGTTCTCCCTAGTCTGCCATTCTTCAAGCCCTAGCATGTTTCTCTTGGGCTTGTCCCCAACAAGCCCAGTTATCTCCCCTTCCTCCTTCCCCCTTCCTACCTAGTTTAAAGCCCTGTCGATGAGCCCTGCTAACTCCTGCCCCAGAAACCTTCTCCCCCTCTGGGGCTGGTGTATCCCACCTGCCACCAGCAAACCAGGTGTCTCATATAGCAGCCTATGATTGAAAAACCCAAACCCCTGCCTTTGGCACCAGTCCCATAGCCATACATTAATCTGCAGTCTCTTCCTATTTATCTCTTCACCTTTGCTTGTAACAGGTATGGAGGCAAACACCACTTGCACTCCAGACCCTCTAACCAGCTGTCCCAGGGCCCTGAAGTCTCTCTTCATTGCCCTTGCCCTGCTTGTAATAATTTCATCACTGCCAACCTGAAAAACCAGCAGTGGATAGTAGTCAGAGGGCTGCACCATATCAGAGAGTTTCCTTTTAACATCTCCGATCCGAGCCCCAGGTAGGCAGCAGACTTCCCTGGGGGATGGATCAGGTCGACAAATGGGCCCTTCTGTTCCCCTCAGAAAGGAGTCACCCACCACAATTACTCTTCTTTTCTTCTTCGTTGAGGAAGTTCTAAGGCATGGGGGTGAGTGACAAGCCCTAGGTGACTCACTAGATGGATCTACCCCTCCATCACCATTTACCTGGCCCTATAGTTCCAAGACCTCATACCTGTTACTCAAGGGCAACTGGGAGGAGGGAAGGGATTGTGAGGGTTTTCGCTTACCTCTCCAAGGAGGGACCTCCCTCCATACTTCCTTGTCCCTTAAGTTTACTCCTCCTGTCTGATGGTAGGAGGGAAGGGGATCCATCACTTGTTCAATCACTTCCCTCTGCCCTTGCCTTAGGGTGTGGCTCCGCCAATCAATTTCACTTTCACACTCTCTGATAGCTCTCAACCTTTCTACATCCTCGCTCAGTTCAACCACCTGCTTTAGCAGGTCATCTCCTTGCTCACACCTCACACAAGCGGTGTCACTGGCTCTGTCAGATACAAGTGCCAGGCTCAGGCATTCACTGCAGCCAGATACCTGCACGGCCGCATGTCTGCAGGAAGGCTCAGTCTGGGTACCCACGTTATTCCTCACTACAGGTTTTGATCGAGTGGTGACCATGATCTGTCTGGTCGATCGGTCCGTCTACGTCTCTTTGCGCAAGCAAGCAGTCCTTCCTCCTCCTGCGCTCCAGGCGAGTCCTCTTGATCAGGCAGTCACCCCACTCGCCTGCCCACGCAAACTGCTGCGCAAACTGCTTCAGCCCGCTCTGGTCGCCGCGCTCCTGGTCGCCGGCGCTCCCTGGGCAGGTTTTTAACCGCTCACAGCTGCTGCCGAGCCTCCTGGATGGATGGATGCTCAACGCTTTGCCAGCCTAGCACACAGGAAGAAACTGAATGTAGAAAGAAAGGAAAACGCTTCTCGTATTATTCCGCCAGCCCTTCTCAGAAGGCTGTAAAAGATATTGGCTGCATATTTTCCCAGCTTGTCTCCTACCACCTAGGGATTCCTCTTGAAAGATATTCCCTTAAGGATCCTGTCTGGAATAGTTTAACATCTTTCATTAAATACTTCTTTTGCTTACCCTTCCCTATCCCTTTACTTCAGTGTTCCCAGGAGAACTTTTACAAGATGTTGATCTTGCACAGTAGGGGAAAAAGTACTCAGCACCCAAGGCCTTAAATGGAGTTTTTGCTTCAAGACTCTAATTAGGGTTTAAATATCTGTTTTAAAGTGGGGAAATAAAAGGATCAGGACCTCAAGGAGCAAATTTCTGCAATATCATTCTACACCTCTGCAAAATGTCTTCTGAATGTTTGAACTGGGGGGGGGGGTGTTAAGGGGGGGGTGGGAAGAGGTGAGCATGTATTTTGTAAGCTTATGTCCAGAGGCCAGCAAAACACCAACAGAAGCAGGAAATCCTACAGTGTTGACTGTGGCAAGTTAGCATGGTATACCTGGGAAAGTATCCCTCCAGAAGTGTCTTATTATTATGGACTTTCCTGAAGCATCTACTGCTGCCACAAGGAGAACAGTAAGTAACTGGACTTCTGCTCCAACCTAGTATGGCCTTTCTTCTGGGAAGAGCTAAGAAGACAAGCAGCTGGATGCAATTCAGGCAATGAAACATAAGACACTGGAAACAACACTGGAAATAGTAGTAGGGAATACACTGGCAACCAGAGGAAATATGACCCTAGAGCTAGAGATCTGAAAGCATGCAAGCCATTGCCACTTGCCAATACCTACTTCACACTCCATCAAGTCCCCTCTTCCTCCTATGGAGCTCTCAAATGACTTCATCATCCCACAACAATATCTTGTTAATAAAGTTCAAGTGTTTTGTAAATCAGTGTCCTTTTATTGTAAGTGATAACCATAACAATAGACAGGAGATTAACAATAGATACAGTAGAGATAAGCACCAGTGAGCAGACTTACAATCACTATATCACAGTCATCTACTACTTCTCCTGTTCCCACTCAAAACAGCAGTACACCCCATGCTCAATGTGAACTTCACAAATCCTGTGTACCAAACCCCAAGTAGGATGGGCAGTCTAGTGTAGTTTTCTTGTTGAGCTTGAGCCATTTTATGAGATGCTTCCATTTGCCTGTTGGCTTTCCACAGACCTACTCCACACCCTCCGTGATTACTTGCCACTTGTTGGCTCTTTTAACAGGAAGAGAGTATTGCATTTCATCAGCCTGGAAAAGACAAGACAGGCAGGAACATCTAGTATCCTGAATATCAACAAGGTGACTGGGGAAGGAACAAGTCCTTACTAAAGGCTTTTAGTAACCAAATGTTTCCTGGATTGCCTAATGTTCTTTTCCAGCCAGGGTTGATGGCACTGAAGCATTCCCAGTGACCTAGACAGTGACATGAGAGTTATTAGCTCCTGGTTAACTGCCTGGCAGGTGGGTGAGGATAACAAAAAATAGCACCCACAAACAATTAGGAACTTGGAATGAGTGTATATGGAGACTATAGTCTCCCTGTATGTTTTCTTGCTGAAAATTCACAGCTCCAAGGACATGATGGTTTGTTTCATTGCTGGCCAATATAACAACCAGATTCAGGAAACTGTATGTCTGTCCTGCAAAGACAGCACTCACAAGCAGTTAGGCTTAATTCCTTTCCTCTCACACATGTCCTACACCCTTAGGCATAGGTTTTTCCAGCATCCTTCCCACTGAAGCAGGGTATATCCTGATCTAACAGAGGGAAAAGGCTTAGTTATTCAGTCCTCATCTATGCAGGTGATGAAAGGCTCAAGAATGAGACAGCCAAATAAGTTAATAGATTAAACAGAGCAAAAGTCAGTGTCTGAACCTCAGCTCCCACTAATGTGGTAAAAGCTGCTATAACAGGGCCCCAAGAGCATCCTTGCGCCTGCAGGTCTGGCTGCAGGATTCAGGGTCCTTTTGGCGGCTGTGGGAAGAGGCTGCCAGGCAGTGCTGCTGTGAGCCTCAGCAAGGGCTGAACCCCGCTTCCCGTGGGGATAGATAGCAGGCTCAAGCCTGTTTTGAGCCAAGCCTCTACCATGTGTCTCCCACCAAAGTTTGGCCACCTCAGGGCTGTCTGACCCTGGCTCCCCTCACTAGGCCTGATCCTGGCCCCAGTCTGCGTGCTGACATCTCAACCTGGCCATATCCCTGTCCCAAATGCTCACCAGCCTGCCCTGGTGCCTGGCTGGGGAGGGTGTGATGGTCCTGGATGGGAGGCCATGCCTTGCCTGCTCAGCGGGTGGGAGCCCCAACTGCTCACAGCACCCTGATACACAGCTGGTCACACTGCTGAGGTTTCTAAAGAGGCCGGCTGCAGTGAGTAAGATTGAGGACATTGGACATTGGTTATCCATGCACTTCGACACTATCCATGCAGAGAGAAGAGCTAGGACATGACAAGGGGGATCAGAGTTAGCCACCAGCAACATTTTTTTGGGTGAGCAAAATCAATGACCTTGTGCCTCAGCAGCTGCATTTTTAGCGAGCTGCTGGGTAAATTTGGAAAGACAAAAGCATTACTATGTTGCTTGTGCTAATACAGGTGTATCTGATGCTACCATATACAACAGATCATGACTGGAATAGTACTACCCAATGCCCATATTTCAAAGAAAATGTAAAAAAGAAATTGAAAGGCTCCTAAAAAGAATTATATGAATAGCAGAAAACCTGCTTCACAGGGAGCTTGAGGAGACTGTATTACTTTACAGAAAGAAAAGTCTTCAATTTGGTATACAAACATACAAAGCAATCCAACAGCTAGAAGCCAAAGCTTCAATTCTAGATTAGCAATAAGGGGCACAGCAAAGGGAATAACTTAGAAATGCAAAAACCATTTTTCCACTATTTGAATTACATAAAAGAGCATTAGAAATTTTCAAGTGTCCTCTATCTTGACCCAAGCTAGGAATTAAATTACAAACACCACTGTGAAAGTTCAATGGTTTCTACTACCCCTGTTGGGTAAATATCTTTTACCAAATTGAGGTAAAGATATTGGAAAGTACAATTTCCTTGGTCCTAGTTTAAGAAAGAAAACTGAAGAGAAAGGCAATGGGAGGTGGCCCTTCCCTTCTACGCAGCATTGAGAGGCCAGACTTGCAGTAATACATCCATTTTTGGGCTCCCCAGTATAAAAGAGACATGGACATACTGGAGACAGTCCAACAAAGGGCCACAAAGATGATAGACAGGAGCATGTCCTATGAGGAAAGGCTGAGTGACCTAGGGCTTTTTAGCCTGAAGAGAATAAGGATCAGGGGGATCTCACCTATGTATATATGCAAATACCTGAAGGGAGGGTGTGAAGACAGACAGAGCCAGTTGTTGGTGTTGCCCAGTGACGTGATCAGAAACAATGTGCACAAACTGAAACATGGCAGAGTCCATCTGAACACGAGGAAACACTTTTTTACTGTGAAGGTGACCAAGCACTGGCACAGGTTGTGGAGGTTGTGGAGTCTCCCTCCTTGGAGACACTTAAAAGCTGTCTGGAGGTGGTCCTGGGCAGCCGGCTCTATGTGGCCCTGCTTGAGGAGGGGTTTGGACCAGATGATCCCGAGTTCCCTTCCAACCTCAACCATTCCATGGTTCTGTGGTTCTGAGAACAGAAAAGACTGAATGGGTTGTGAAGGTGAAACAAAATTGTGGTAGCCACCAGCATTGCTTGCATGTATTTCTGACAATGATATGGCATGAATCTTTTTTACTTGTTTTGCAGATGGTTTTTTCCTCTGGTCTGTGGAGCTAGATTTTGCCCTGGGTTTTATCAGTAGGGTCTGAAGCCAGATCACTCCAAAGAACCTGTGATCTGGGGTCCTTCCTCTAATCAAAGATCTACCTTTTGATATGGTGGCATTTGGCCCTGGGAACAGAATGAAATGGAGCCTATATGAAATGTCCAGCCAGTCTCTGCCAAAAGTTTCTAGGGGAAAAGTACGAACGCCTTGAAATGGATGAAAACACAATGTAAAACAACAGACCCTGTTCTAACACTAAATGGGTTAAGCCTTCTATTCTGTGAAATGAACAAAAGTGCTATTACTGTTTCCTTCTTGCTTGCCAGTGTGGTTTCCTCTGCAGAAACATCTGTGACAGCACAGAATTTTTGAGGACCTAGTTAGCGATGTTAGAAAAGAATGTTAGTTCACCAGGCAGTGTGGGGAATAATGTAATTTATATGTATATCTATGTTTGTTAAGCATCTTGAATATTCCTCACATCCCCGTGAATCTTGTGTGGTAGTAGCCATGGAATGCAAAAATCATCTAGGGAATTCCTCATCGCTAAGTTTAGCACTGAAGAGCTAATGGCTTCAGTATGCTGTATTGTTTAGATGTGAGGTTAAATTCAGAGATCAAACTCGGATCCTTTTCTGGAAAACCAGTCTAAATACAATCAGGGTGTGGAAGCTCCATTTCTGACTGCCCTGCATTGGACCTTTGGAGGTAGAACACTTTGTTTAGAAGAGCAGTAACATGGGTAAAGAAAAGGCGTTAACTTAGTTTTTCATTTCTAATTCTCCAATCACTAAAACATTATCTGTCACCAGAAGAAGGAGCAGCGTTAAAAGGACCACTGACTTTAAGGAAAAGCACATTCACTGAATTCTTCAGAAAAACAGAGCTTACTCGTAAATTTAATTCCCACATCTTCAAAGGAGCCAGATTATGTAAACTGGCTTATTTAAATCGAAAGGTGCAAAGGATCTAGATCACTGTAGTTCCATAAAATATGTCCCACTTTAATTCAGTTTCATAAATTGTTATATCTAGAATTTACTTTCTAACCAATGTTAATGGCTCTCTGCCTATGTTCAACCCTTTTAAATCTCCTGACCCATTTTCAATGGGTAAGAAATTGCCTTTTGGTCATATTCCCACATCACTGACGTGACTGAAGAGTTTGGCCAGAATTTTGTGCCTTTAGAATACAAGAGCTGTAATCTGCTGTTAATGGCTACAGCTATGCTTAGAAAGACTGTGAAGTAAAACCAGAGCTGTGCAATCTGCTAGACTTACCAAAAAAACCCAGAAAGTCATTCCTCACTGGTAATAGCTGACCATCACAGGAAACGAACATTAATTATTTTTAGCTGGATTTATGCAACCAGGGTAAAAGACAGTTAAATTAATAATAAAGACAAAAGATTTCTCAAATGGAGTCTTCTGGGGCCTGTGCCAGATTACAGTAATGAAAACAGTTTATCAACAAATATTGCAAAATCAGCAAAAGATAGAAACCCATACCTCCATCTGCTGTCTTTTATGTAACATTGGTAAACTCACCAGAATGGTCAAATATGATGATGTGAAGGTAATCTGGAGTTATAGAAAGTGGTTCACATAATACAGCAGCACCACACTTTTGCCTGACCAGCTGATATTTTAGGTGCCTTCTCTTGGGCAATCCGAAAAGGTTCACTAAACCCGTAGTACAGAAAACTGGTTTTGATCTCTCTAGCAATGCCTTATATGCACTCAGCATAACCTTTACATATGCTAATGAGCATTGGTGCAAGGGGGTAGCACTTTCAAAAATAGCATTGTGTCCTCTGAATTCCAGAGAGATTCCTACCCATGCATCCTCTTCCCTTTTCCTGGCTGTTACCTGGCAATAGTCTCTTCTGCACAAAAAAATCAACAGTGTCAGCCAAGACATTTAAATATGGAAGCCACTGCAATTAATGCAGATCTTGCCTTCTTGCTTTACCCCAGCTCCTTAAAGGAGGAGGGAGGGAGTGACTACATCCTCTGGTTTGAGATAACTGCAGCTCAAGGCTCCAGTGCACACAGCACCTGGCCTTCTGCTGCTGCTCACAACCAGTATCAATCTGTTCACAGGACTTTCAAAGGTGCATGTCCTAAATGTTTTGTAATATGAAAATTCAGGCAGACTTTGTGATTCCCATAGGTTACTTGTGATTTTTCTTTTGCAACATTATTTTGGACAATGGAAAGTGTGCTCCTTACGCACCTGCATCTGCCATAGCCCCTGCAGTTGAGGGCATCCTCTGCAGGTCCCAGGGCTGGGATTCAGATCAACTCAGCATCCATCTGGACTAGGCAGTAAAGAGAGATGGGATTTGCTCCCATACCTGGAGTCCTGCAGTGAGCGCTCAGCTAGGGTCAAGAGATGCCATTAATAACTGCAGGTTTTGAAAGAGTTGAAGCAAAACATCAGTTGATAAAAAAGTTATCCTTGCTAAACAAAAGGGACTGAACAGGAGAGAGAATTTTCACAATAATTCAAGAGTAAATTATAAGCTTTTCACAAGCTCTTTTTAAAGTCCTATGTTGTTTGTTTTTTTTTAAACTGGTTGCATGTTTGTAAAAGTTGTACATGGATTTAATATTATACATAGAACTGAAAAATCAGTATATGAGAAAGACAAGTTTTCCTACCTATGCTGTTTAATTTATGCTGAGAATGGTTACAGTTAGGGCAAATGAGGAGAAAATAATGTAGGTCTTCCAATGTAATACACCTGCCTTACCATTCCTTTTACTAAGTAGTCTAAGATAAGACCTGGTGCAGAATGTGAATCCCCTATTGATGAATAAGCAGAAGTATAACATTGCAGTGAAACTGGGAACTTCAGCATTTCTAAAGAGATTACCGACTGTTCAATGCAGCATACTTTTAACAATCAAAGAATAATCTAAGTTAGTTCATTTTGCTAAAGACACTGTCATTTTCTACTAGCAAGACATACAGCATTTTGCTATTTTATGGTCACTGGTGCTATTCCATCATTCTGTAGAAAAAAATCACCTACAGAATTGTCCAATTTTTTTTTGTGGTTAGGACAAAATAAGCTTCCCACACTAAATTAAGGTAGATTTAGATTGCATACAAAATGAAAAACAAACCTTTCTGATGCTATCCAAAACCAGCAGCAGGGTGCACCAACTATTACCACTTTTTTACATTTAAAATATTGTATGTATAGTAAAGGTAGCTGACAATAGCAGTTTAAATCAGTTATGTTATCTACTGATATGGGAAGTCAGAAGTACATAAAGGAGCAGAAAACAAGCAAACAAAAATTCCATAAACTGCATTTTAATGTGACAAAAAAAGTTCAGGCTTTATGATGACAAAGACCAAGCAGAATATGAATACTAGCAACTTTTTTAGTAAACGTGCAATTTGAATGCAGAGCTTTAGGCATAACACAAAACTTGCTTTGTATTGACAAAATTTCATTCACCCCAAGGTGAATTTGATGCTGGAATACATTTCTATGAGGAATACTGTTGTTCTTGTGAAAACTGAGATATTCATAATGACTCTTTAATTATTAGCTGAGACATAGGACAAAACGTGTCTGCACCCAGTGTTGCTAATAGCACCTGGTTGATGTAGGTCTTTGTTTTTCTCACACATCTCAAGTCACATGAGGATAATGTTGACCTTATTTCAAGGAAGAATTATTTATGTCACTTCCTTTAGTTATAGAGGTTGTTCACCCAGACATGCCTGACTGAAATAGAAAGGATGGATTTAAAAATTCAGTGCCAGACACACCGAGTCGACAAAGTACTTTATTTAATCTGTAAAATTAGTTCCACAGCTACAAAAGGCAGAGGAAGAGGCAGATCCAGTACACCCACTGAAGAACTCTAATATCATTTAGGTCCTCAAGCAGCCACCTGTCAACTTCTATCCCTAATATTGTCCACATTCTTATGTAGCCAAACTGCTCCATTAGTAATTTTTTTCTCTCCACTCTCACTGTGATATCTGCACTACCGTCTCTCAGACAGCCCAGCCTCTCAGCTCTCTCAGTTTCTTATTTTTTCCCCAACAGAGCCTCTGGAAATCTGACATTCTTGAAGATGCCTTCCTAGGAGTGCTCTCTAGAACATACACTTATTCTGCAATCCTTAGTCACCAATCCTTCTCTTTCCTTTAAACTCCAAGGAAAGGAGATTGAAACTCTTATGTGTCAAGGTGACAAAGGAAAGCTATGTTTAAGCAGAGTATGAAGTTCAGAATATCTACAGTCTTCATAAGTGGACATCCTTAACGTCTTCCAAGTCCCTTTCTCCTCTTCCTTAAGTTCATTCTTACTGCTACTTGGAATTTAGCCTGAACAAGTACAAATTATAAGAAGTCCAAATCTTCTCAGTCTTAAGTTTCGAATGAAAGAAATCCTCATTTAGCAGCTATACACTCCTAAATCCCTGCTTAAATCTAGCCCTAAGAGAAGAAATTATATTAATCTGCTTTCATTCTGAGTAGGATATCATGCAGGAAGATAAAAAATGCTCAACCAGTGCACTTTGGAGTGTCATTCAGATCAGTCAAATATTCCTATATGCAGGAGCTTTAATGGATTTTCCACTCAGGTACTAGTCAAGTCAAGCCCTCTTCAGCATCAGAAGTGTGCCTTATATCATGAGACACCTTATTTTGCAGGCATATGTTCTCTGTTGTCCACTTTCAGTATGCTATGGAGCACAGCATTAGGTACCAGTCATCTTTGTGTTTATTGACTCATAAAGGTTACCGAATGAAGAGAAATGCTTGTTATGTCATACACCATTACTTGTGTGGACATTACAGTAGGCATTGCTTCTGCTCACATTTTAGTCCAATATGACTCCTGTTTTCCACAATTAAGCAGTAATAGGTAATAACTGCCCCATGACAAGTTTATTTTTTAGAGCCTGAGAACTCAAGCAGTGAAGGATTAGTAGTGTTGCTTTTATAGTTCGTGTTCATATTGGTGTAGTAAGTAGCTAAACTGACAAAATGGCAGTATTCCATTGACATATCTTTCTATTTTCACTCCTTTATGTAAGTGCATCCATTTCCATGTTTACTCCATTATCATTCGCTAATACAGGAAATAATTGAGACAGATTTTCTTTCAAATAGTGCTCTGCATCATTGATTTTATTTTAGCTTTGCTGTAGTTACACTAACGAAAACAAGTATGTGAGATATGAATGGTCTTGTCACAGCCATTATCTTTCTCCTGATGGCTTTTTGAGTTCAGCATGGACTGTACATGTAGCTTTTGGAATCACAGAAAGAAAGGCAGGAAAGGACCTCAGGAGGTCACCCATTGCCTCTCCCTGCTGCAGGACAAACAGCCAAACCATAGCTAAACAGATCTGAGTTCTCTCTAGCTGTTAACATATGCCCATATGACAGTTGTTGGTAGCTGTTCACCTCAGCTTCAAGATCTGATCTATTTATATATGCCACAATTTTTAATAGATAATGTGATTCATACTGTGCATTGCATGTATAGCTCTTTCCATTTTGTGCTCTTACTGTCTCCCTTCACAATGCTCCGTGTCCTCTGCAGGTCTGAAAATCTAAACATTGCAGCAGAAAGAAGGCATTTCCACTGTCCCTTTACCCAATGCTATGATCTGCAAATACTTTACATCAGCTTCTGTGTTCTCTGATAAATCCTCTGCTTTCACAACCCTGAGAAGTTATAAATAGCAACACATGATACCGTGTCTTGAAAAAGCCACCCAACTTCCCAAGAAACTGATTGCCCAACAGAAAATGCAGGAAAAAGAGCAAATAATGTACCAGGTAAGCAAAAAGTCCGAGATTTTGTTTCACTCTTTCTTTCATGTGCAAAGCACTCAGACACAAGTGTAATTTCTAAAATGATGAAGTTTGCAGAGGCTGCACAGAGCTTTCCTTGAAAATCCTTTTGCACAATGGGAACTGCACTGGGATAATGAAGTGGTCTCCAAGCTGGTGGTCTGTGTTCTAGCAATACATCACTTTCCAGGTGTTGTTTTGTTTATTTGTTTCATCTTCATACTGCCAGGCACTGTTAAAATTGCTATGGAGAGGCCTACATGTAATGGTAGGAGCTTGTGTGCAACTATATAGAATTTACCCACAGCAAAATGTGCAATGGAAATTTTGCCAGAGAGTCTGGGATTTTATCCTTGGGACCATCCCTCTCTTCAGAGTTACAGATGACGTACAAAAGTATTACTAGCTTTGCTTCAGAAGCAGAACATCAGACAATGAGCAAACTTTTCTATCACTGTTGCTAAGTGTGTCTTAGTAAAACTCCAGCTCATTGCCTTAGAAATCTTGTCCTTATGCTTTTTCTGACAGCATTAGCAAATTGTACACTTTAAAGCCTTGTGTGGGTTTGGATGTTGGTTTGGGTTTTTTTTTCTTTCTCTCTGGGTGGGAGTTGTCTAGTGCAATGTGCTTACACAGTGTCATCACAGTGAACTCTAGCTAGGGTAATGCCAGGAAGAAGAGCTTGACAGTATGGAACAGATTTAGAATAACCAGCAAGGGCATAGCCTCACAGCAGCCTTGACAGAACTTGTACCCAAGTGCCTGCTAACTTGTACAACCTTGGTCTGTACAGAACCTGCCTCACAACAAATGCCAGGGGTTAAGAATGAGAAGTTTTGATTTACACTGTAGAAACAGAAACTTAGACAGATTTAGTGGTCAAGGTATTAATTTCCAGACATAAGTCTCAGGCAAAATTTTGAGACCTATAGTCCATTCCCACTTTAGGATGATGCACTATGATATGCTGTATTGTAATATGTTTCAGGGGAGGACAGCATACTAGATTCACTGGAGAAGAACAGTTTCATTCCCATCTGGGTCTGAAAAATCTATGGCTTGATCTTGAGATCTTGAGAACAGTCACTGAAATAACTGACTCACATAAACAGCAAATCTTCTCCTATGAGCAAAGTTGTTCCATGTCTTCAGTACCAAGTCTAAAACCTGATGTGTCAAAGACAAAAATGCACTGGTACTTAGTTGACAGCTGGGCTTAAACCACAACAGTGATATACTGGCAACAGTTGATTTGCAGCACCCCAACTTTAAACAGTTATGTCATGCTGCAAATATTTCCAGAGACACTCACAAATGGCAGACACGTATCTGCCTGTTAGTATAAGGACATGCAGAGGAGCACGTTTCCAGCTCTTCGTCATTCAAAAGTGATTGAGACAATGTCCTAAATTCCAGTGATCCAGATGGAATGGATGCACACGTAGGACCCAGTGCATACAAATCATCCCACTAGACTCTTCACTTAGCTTGTTCAGTTCCTTTTCAAGCAGAGTTCCTGTTTATACTAATGTGACTACTTTCACAAGGGAGGTTGTAAGTGTACGAGTCATTGCACTGCTCCTAAAGATAGGTCATGGCCCTTAAGTACACATTTATCAAAAAGCTGATAGGTAACAGATGATGTAACATTGGTGATTGAAGAAGACATCTTTTGGCAAAATAAATTACGTGGAGTGAATTAGCTTTATGGATCAAAACCCCATAAAGCACAGTAGGCCAACTGAAGAACGGATGTTTTTATTATTGAATGCTTCTGTTAACAAGAATGTAATGTAAAACCTGCACAAGAACAAGCTAAATTTATTATAACTCAGAGAAGATGATTAAGTTCATTGGGATTGCTTCTAAGAATGGTAACTTTAGATGATTTTAAAAAGTTCAGCTGAAACAAAAAACCTCTTCTTAGGTTTTAAGGACCCAGAAGAGTTATGTACAGCAATCCTAAGAAGGAGTATTTAAACCAGGTAGATAAATCATCTATATAAATGTATACTGTCAAAGTAAAAGCAACCAGGAAATCTGGCCACGTCATGGATTTCCAAGTCTCAAGCTTAGGAAGATGAAGACACCAAGGAGCTGTTTGTCCAGCTAAGCACATGTAGTGTGGCTTCTGAAAGAGGCTAACACCAAAAGAGAATGAGAACTTGCTGGAACTATGTTTAACAGTCAGGTTGGGAACGGAACTGTGATTTTAACTGCTGCCAGTGGAAGTCTTAATTGATGCTGCTGTTCCTTGTTCTGCAGCTATCCATCTATGTACAAATATGTATATGCCAGTCACAGCACTACTGCTCTTTGGGAGACTAAAGCAGCAGTGCCAAAGTGTTACAGAATCTGGTAAAAACTGGCATTCATACAGAAAGGTATTTGTGATTTTCAGAAAGAAGGGAGGTGACAGCACAGTATTTGCAGAGGATGCTCAGTTGTGGAATGATATGGGCAGAAGGGACTATGAGTATGCAATTTGGGTGAGAGCATACAGTGTGGGGATTACACCTCTTTCCTTGACTGTACGTGGCTCTCAGGTTGCAGACATCTCCAACACCAGGGCTTCTAGCTTTGCTCTACACAGGTCTCATCAATAAGGATTTCAAACTGCCCAGGGCATTCAGTGATTCATCTTATATAATAGCTCAGTGTTGCAAGCTGATGGAGCTCAGCCAGACTCAACAGCAGTGGAAAGTTTTCAGTGTTTTTTTTCCTTTTTTATTTCAAGACTGTTACCTACCCCTCTGCTCACAAAGCCCTGCTCAGAGCCCACTGACCATCCATTCCATATATCTCACTGCAGGGTGCTTCAGTTTTGAAAACCCTCAGTTCCCACAGTGATACTATTCCTAGCATGTGAACAGCATAGCTGCAGCATTCTTCCTGGGGAACATCCCTAGG